TCAGAAGAGTGGTGGCTAGAGGGGCCCCAAAGGCTTATGCTAAAGGTTTGGCTTCTAGCTTGGGATGCTCTTGGCAGGTGGTAAAACCTTGGTGGGTCGAGCCCAGGCAAAGAAGAGAGGTCCCTGGGAAGTGTCCTTGAAGGGAATACTGGAACCTTAGGCTGTGTGCCCTCACTTCTGACGGTGTTCTGCCTTGGCCCATGCCCCAAGCCATGGAGTGGAGCAGCCATGGAGTGAAGCCTCTGAAACCATGAATCAGGTACAAGTCATTTCTTTTTGTAAGTTTGTCCTGGGCTGGGTGTAGGAGCTAACATCTGTAATCCTAGCACTCTGCGAGGCAGAAGCAGGAAGGTTGGTCAGTGTGAGCTAGGCCTAGGCCACTTAATGACTTGGTGAGAACCCACCTTGAAAAGGAAAAAAGAATGAACAAAACCAGGACTCGGGACGTAGCTCACTGAGAAGGTCCTGGATACGCTCACTGCCACCACAGAGGAGAAGTCCAAGTTGTTTATCTCAGATGTTTTGTGACAGAGACAGAAAGGTGAATAAGGTAGGTGCCATGCTGTCGGATGGGTGTGAGAAGATATGGGGCGAGGGGCTGGAACTCTCAGGGATCAGACAGTCATTTGAGTTCACAGGCTGTAATCTACGCTACACAAGGAATAAGCAAAGAAAGAGGCAGAGAGCCGACAGCACAAGGTTTGGGGTGGAAATGACTGTGTCCGGAGGGGTGGGATAGCAGGGTGGAAGGAGACTGTGGCTCCTGGTTTCATAGGGGGAGTAATTTCATAATGGCTGTGCAGGCTGGACCGCCAGGGGGCAGCAGCGGTGCACAGGCAAGTGTGTAGGGTGAGCCCTGGGACTCCATGGGCCGGCCCTATGGAGGTCAGAAGTGCGCGGGCTGCAGGCAGGACGTGAAGAGGCAGGGAGCAGGTGCCAAAGCCCCGATGAACAACAAAGCTCTGGGGAGGCCAGAGCTGAGGGCAACAGTTTGAGCGGAACACAGGTGGGGAGGGGAAGGGACCCACAAGGAATATAAACAACCATGCTTGTGATAAAAATAGCACAACCATGGCTGTGAAAACAAAACAGATCATTAGAAAATATTAAGGGAGGGGCTGGCAAGATAGCTCAGCGGAGTAAAGTGCCTGCTTAGGCAAGCATAGACAAGCACGGGGACCGGGGACGACAGTTCAATCCCTGGCACAACATGCTGTGCCAACCCCCACCCCAGGGCGCACTGAGCTGGCCACAGAGTCCACTGGGGAGGCTGAAAACAGGAGAATCACTATGAGTCCGAGCTGTGTAGTGAGATCCTGTTAACACCAAACAGAGAGAGAGAGAGAGAGAGAGAGAGAGAGAGAGAGAGAGAGAGAGAGAGAGAGAAAGACAGAGAGAGAGAGACAGAGAGAGAGAGACAGAGAGAGAAGAAAATACTAAGGGATGGTGAAGGTCCAGTTCACTTACATGAGTGGGTTGAGGGAGCCTCACTGGAGAGACAACATTTAAATGAGGGGTGGAGAATAAAAGAGAAGCTGGGTGCTGGGGAGTTGCACACTGCTGGGAGGCTGAGGCAGGAGGATCACAAATTCAAGTTCAGCTTGGGAAACTCAGTGACGGAGAGACCCTGTTTCAAGATTAAAAATAATAATAATAATAATAATAATAATAATAGAATAAAATAAAATGGGGCTGGGGATGTAGCTTAGTGGGAAGTTCTTGGGTTCTATCCCCAGCACCAGACAAACAAAACATGTTTGCATTTGGCCTCGACTGATTCAGAACTGACCCTGCAAAACAGACATGGTTCCCAGCCAGCTGGGAGGAAGAAGGGCACTGCGGGGCAGGCACAGCTGTGGTGACAGCCGTCACCAGGTGAGGCAGCGGACAGAGGGGTAGAGGCTTGGTGCCTGGGACAGTGCCACCAACCAGAGCTGCTGCGTGGGGCGTCATGGTAATGATTATTTAGGGCGAGATAGTTCCTGTCCTGTGACACCTAAACAAAAAGGATGCAGTTCTCTCTCTCTCTCTCTCTCTCTCTCTCTCTCTCTCTCTCTCTCTCTCTTCTTTTAATCCTTTCAACAACCTTATGAGATAAATTAAAATTAAAAAGCCCCTCTGAAGAGCAGTTTTCTTTTCCCTCATGCCCTGGCTTTCCCTGCGTTCTGTGGCTTCCACAAAGAGCCTTTTGTTAAAATGTAGGGCGCTCAGGGGCTGGCTTCCTGCCAAAGTGCCTTTTGATTTATCAAAGCCTCTCTGAGCTCAGGTGTTTGAATCTGTATTGCTTTTTTTTTTTTTTAGGTCAGAAGTCACTGTGGGAGAAGCCAAGGGTTCAAGAGTGAGACTGTGAGATGACCAGCCATGCCCAGGGGCCTTCTGCCCACTGGAGCCTTAGCTGGGTGCCCTGGCCCCTGAATGCAGCTCCTAAGGACAGACAGAGGCTCTCCAGTGAGTAGGTCCTCACAGATGAACCTGGCAGAGGTGCGTTACCTATGTGAGGACTCATAAGGCCCAGCTCATCCCCAGGGAGCTGTCTAAGAGAAACAGGCAGCCCAGTAGCCCCTCTCTCCCTTGTTTTCATATTTATGTCAGCATGCTTTAGCTTTGGAGTACAGTAAGCTGATCTGAACTCACCGTGGAGTCACCAGTGACAACCAGGAAGTGGAGGGACCGGGACCACGCAGGTGGCAACTGGGCTGAGATACAGCCCAGATGGCCCCAGAAGTGGGTGACAGCTAGTGCCTGAGCCCTGGCCTGCATAGGACAGAAGATCCAGATGCTGTCATCCCTCCAGGGGTACGAGAGCAGCAAGGCACTGTCCAGAAGCTTTGGGGGACTAAGAACAACAGGACAGGTGACACAGGTGACCATGGGAGCTGCAGCGAGGAGAAGAGCTACAGGAAGGAAGTGCCGGCCAGCAGGAGCTCACACTATCACAGACCGGGCATTAGGAGGCCCCACAGCCTCAGTGCGCTCTCCTTTTGGGCCCTCTGACTGCCCTTCTGTGCCACTACTTCCAGTGTTCGTGGCCCCCCCCCCTTGGGGTGGAGCTGTAGGTGGAAGAGGAGGTGAGTGGTGATACATACATTTATCGATAACCTTCCATGTACCCCATATGTACTCCTCCTGCAAGACATCCTTTGAAGTATGACTGCTTATTCCCATATTACAGAGGAAGACCCTGAAGCCCAGAGAAGTTGTTCACTTGGGCAGTGTCACACAGCCAATAAGTGGCAAGACCAGGATCTAAACACACCCCCTTTTTACATGATGGTGAGGAGTAATTTATTCTTTGGGGTCCAGCAGGTGGTGGGTATTTCATGGAGCAATAACAGATGTGAAGAGAGCATTATTTTTCCTTAAAACTCTTCCTATCAATGCCTGTTTCTCCTTTAAGCTGTTGACCAGAGGCGGTGGCCAGGCAGAGGAGTCTCTCACCTTCAGAAGGCAGGAGCCTTCAGGAGGCAAATTGCTCTTCCTGAAACAAGTGTTTGCATTCCACACCCCTGGCTCAGGCTGCCATCAACCCTGGGAAATCAACAGCACCAGCAAGGCCATTAAAAGATTAGCCTTTGCGCTTGAGGCCAATTAAAGGCTGCCATCTCAACCTTCAACTCCATCTTGCCAACTAGGTCAACCTCCACTCGTATCCCCTGAAAGGTCTCTCAGGTTCTTGGGGCTAAATCCAACATACAGGTGAGGGAGGAAGAGAAGATCCCAAGGATGTTGACTGCACCCTCTTCAGAATTAGGCACCAGGGTGGCTCAGCAGAGTCGCTGGAGTTCTTGGGGAGGATACTTGTAGGACCACAGACACCAAAACAAGCTGCAGAGAGCAAATTCCTGTGAGCCAGATCCAACAGGGGCTCAGGAAACAACAGGAATTAAAAGTGGGGAGAGTGCCCAGGTACTGAGGTGATATTGGACTAAGAGACCAAAAGAAAAGAACTAGAACTTGGCGACTCAATCAACTGTCTGTGATCCTCCGAGCCCTGAAGCTAGTCCACACGGCTTGCTCTGAATCCCCTTCCCCCACACCAACCATCTTGCTTCCTGCCAGGACCATCCTTTCACTTGGTCTGGCCAAAACCTACATCCCATGTGTGGGAGACTCTTCGAGTTCATCTTCAATATATATCCAGAATCCAGTCACTTAATCACCTTTCGACCCAGCTACAGGGGCTCTCTCTTGGGGCAATGGACTGGCCTCTTCTACCCTTCCTCCTCCTTGGATTATAACCATCAGATCACACATCAGTTGTTGCTTTTTTCTTTCCCCCCCTTTTTTTAGGATGTGTTTTTTTGTTTTTTTTTTGGAACTGGGGATTGAACTCAGGCCCTTGTGCTTGCCAAGGAAGCGTTTATTCTACTGAGCCATCTCCCTGGCCCTAGTGTGCTTTTTTTACAGTGTTGGCCTTGAACTTGCCACCCTCCTACCTTAGACTCCTGAGTTGCTAGGATAATGCCCAGCTCCACTCCACTTTCTTTTCTCTCTCTCCCCCTTTCTTTCTGGGTGGTGGTGGGGGTAGGGATACTGGGGTTTGAGCCTATGCCTTCACACGAGCTGTATCTCAAGCCTTTTTTTTTTGTATTTTGGGACAAGGTTTGGCTAAGACTACCATTGCCCAGGTTGGGATCAAACTTGCTATCTCTGCCTCAGCCTGTCAGAATGTTGACATGACAGGAATGGGCCATCTGGCCCAGCTGCAATGTGTCTGTAAGTGTCCCCCACCCCATGAAACCACCATGACCCCCTGCTATCTGGTCCCTATGGAGTTCCCGTTAAAAACTCACAGGGGAACAGTTAAGGACTGTTAAGAACTCACAGTTGGTGTCACTCACAGGACCTCTCCAACCTCTCCTCGTCCTGCTGCCCACCTTGTCCACAAGTTCCCGCAACTCTTGCCCCTTCCTCCTCTCTGAATATGCTAATGTGCATGCTCCTACTCTGGGCCTTTGCACTCGCTGTTACCTCGGCTTCAGATGTTTTTTCCATCTTCCTCCAAACATCACAAAATAGTTTCACGAACTACTTGACTCTGCCTTTTTAGGGTGTCCATAATTCTTGTCCTCTTATAGCTTAATTCCAAGGGCTAGAATAAAGCGGAAGCGATGGTGCAGGACTTCAGAGGCTATGTCATAGCCCAGTGACTTCCCCCACATCTGACTCTGACTTGATGGTTTGAGATAGGGGAACCCAGCTCCCAATCATGAGGGTGTCGAGGCAGCTCTAGGGAACAGAGGTCTCTATGGTGAGAAACCGAGGTCTCTATACCAACAGCCTGCACAGGCACCGTCCTGGAAGCAGACCCTCAAGACTCAGCTCATCCTGCACGCATTCACACACCTGCCCGCCCTGCCCAGCCAGTGGCTGCACTACAACCTCCCGTGAGCCTTCCAACCAGAACCACCCAGATTCCTGGCCCTCAGACACCCAGAGGCAGTCATCCACCTTTGTTGTTTGAAGCTTCTAAATTTGGGGGCAATCTGTTATGCAGTATTAGATACCTCAATGCCTCCTCACTCCCAGCCGGCTTCTGCTACAGCCTCCCTCATGCAGACCTCTTTCTTACCTGCTCTACTTAAATCAGAACCTCTGCAACACCTCAGCTGCCTGCTGCATCGTTGTTCTCCACAGCTCTCGACTGCTCAGGATAATGAGTGCATTCTGTCATCTTCTCCTCATTTGGATTACCATGAGCTCCTGGAAGGCAAAAGATTTTTCTGTCTTGTGTCCTGGTATGTGGTAAGCACTCAGTAAATATATGCAGAATAAACACACATGCAGCAGGTTTATTCTTCTATTGCTGCTGACTGAAACTGAGGCTCATCTCATTTTTAAATCTTGTTCTGATGCTATTGATCATCCTTAAGTTATGTGCACAGTACATACAGCGTGGAGTTGGTCCATGGACATAATGCATCTTAATTCCTTTTCCCATCCCCTTTCTCTTCCCTCCCCTCCTACTCATTCCTGGATCCCTTTTTCCTTTAAAAATATCATTTCTTTCCTTACTATTACCTATCTTTTATTTTGACTTTTATCTTTACTCTGGGTTTCTCATCTATGAGGCAAAACCATGTGCTTCTGAAGCCTGTGTGATGTTTCCACTTGACATTATGGTCTGAAGCGCATCTATTTTCCTACAAATGATTCAAGTTTGTCCTTCCCCCTGGCAGAGTAGTATCCCATGGTACCTAAATTCCACATTTCTTTATCTGTTCCTCTGTTGATGGATATACAGCCTGCTTTCAAGACTTAGCTATTATAAGCTGGGCTGTTTATAAATATCGGTATGCATGTAAGATGTCTTTTAACTCTTGGGAAGGGAACATATTTATAACCACTATGGAAATCAGTATGGAGGTGCTATTGTTTTAAGGATTCACTCTGGGTTTTTTCCCCCCTTCCTCTACTGCCACACTTGTTGGTTTGGGACAGTGACAAGGTCATCCAGCTTCTTTCCTAAGGTAGGCTTTACTATGAGGACAAACACCTTGAAGCCCAGTGGATTATGCCTTTTGTCCTTGACTGAGGACCAATTTCCGAGGTGCTGAATCTAGTTAAATGGGCTCCAAAAGACACAAAAACAGTTCACACAGCAGATATCCCAAGGGGAGGCTAACCTCACTGCCCTTGGTGCTGGGACATTCAAGTCTGTCATGGGTGGCGGGCCCGCAGTCATGTGGTACCAGAGGGGCAGCTGTATCAACAGCTCCCTTGCAGGTCTGCACAGGATATAGCTAGAGATTGACTTTCAAATAAGGGAAAAAGAACGAAGAGGAAAGGAACTGTGAACTTTTTTGTACAATAATGACTTGTTGGCAGTCTGGGGTCAGAGGGGACAAATCCTATAATGACTGAGTTCTTTGAAGCCCAGGGCCTGCTCAGGTTATGCAAGTACCACTGCCAGTGATCTGCTCACTAGCTGGGCATACATACCTGGCTTGGTGCCCTCCATCTTGACACTTTGCCCAGGATACCTCCACCCACGGCTTGGATGACTACACTATCCTGGGACACAGTGTCTACATTGTTATGATGGTCTACCCTGACTCCCCGTGTGGCTGTACACCACCATGCAATAAAAAAGTGGTTTTGGAACTCATTGCACTGCACGTACTTTGGGTGACAGGTGAACTCAAGGAAAAACACTGTGCAGTCAGGAGCTGCAATCAGGCCTCACTCTACACTGACTCTGCCAGCCCCAGGGCGTACTTCTCCTCAGGCCTCTGTCTTCAACTGAGAATTGACTGGCTTCCTAGCTCCCTTCTCTCCTTCCAGTTCCAATGTTTTGAGAGCTGTTGGAAACACTAAGAAAAGAAGCTAGTCAGCTACTGTTTAGTTAAGGCAGGGATTCCCAGCCACCCAGTGCACCGTGGCTGTGAGGAAGTACACTTCCGGCTGGCCATGCCCCATCACATTCCCGTGGCTAGAACTGTCCAGTATGCCACTAGGGTGAACCCCAACTCCCCAACCCAGCCTCTGCCTCTGAGCCCCTTTTTACTAGCCTCTTTTTACTTCTGGTAATTAGCTAAGCCTACCTCACGGTTCACCCTCAAGACAAGGACTGTAAATAACTTGCTGTATCAGGGAGGTAATAAAAATAGGCTAATCCAATAGGCGTGACTCTGGAGAGGATTTTAAGGAGGTGAATGAACAGGAAGCCCAGAGAGAAAAGGCCTGGGCTGGGAAGTCCCCAGGGCTCTGGGCGCCGCTGACCTGACTCACCTCTGGCAGCTCCTTGACCTCTAGTGTTAAAACTGGCACGGGTGGATCCGTGTCACAGGGCAGGTTACAAATAGCCCGGGGATTAGCCAGCCCATCCCCAAACTCCGGGTTCAAGGGCAGGGAAAGTTACAAGTTTGATTCAGTAGCTGGGAGGCCGTACAGAACCAGGAAGGAGCGCGCCTAGGTGCCAGTGCCCAAGGGACCCAGGAGACCAGGCAGAGCCTGCTTCAGTTTTGGAGCTGGGACATCAGGCTTGCATGGATCGGGTATAAAGACCTCTGTCTCACTTCCTGAGGGGACCCTGGTGCCTCCACGTCCTGTTCATAGGAGCCCAGAGCGAAGCGCTCGCGCCAGTGACCCCAGTCAAGGTCTCCGGAGTAGCAGACAGCACGGTGGCCGTGGCTTTGGCGGAGGAGCGCCAGGACTCCGCTCCGAGGGTCGCGCTTTCCCTTTCCCTCCCCCTCCCGCCGCTCGATCCCGCCTCCCGGAGTTCGGCGCTCCAGTCCTTGAAGGGGACCTTGGTGGGGACCGGCTCCCCGTGCAGTCGCTCATTTCCGGGCCGGCTCCGCGCGCAGACAGGGCGGCCAAGGGGACCTTCTCTTCGCGCGGGTGCCCCGCCTGCCCTGCTGGCCGCGGAGGCGCAGAGCGCGCCCAACTCTCTCCGGATTCCTCGCGCGCACGGTCACGGACGCGGAGGCAGCGCCCGGAGTCCGCCGGC